ATTCTGTCATTAATTACTCACCCTCATGTCATTCCAAACCCGTAAGACCTCCGTTCATCTTCAGAACACAAATTATTTTTGATGCATTCTGAGAGCTCTCTGACCCTCCCATAGACAGCAATGTAATTACCACGATCAAGGTCCAGAAACGTAGCAAAGATGAAGATGAACAGAGGTCTTACGGGTTTGGAACGACATGAGGGTGAGTAATTAATGACAGAATTTTCATTTTTGGGTGAACTACCCCTTTAAGACAGAAGCTATGCTATAGAGAGAAGGTATAACTGAATCTTTGTTCCTGACAGGAGATCGACGGGAAGTCCCTCCTTCTGATGCAAAGGAATGATGTGCTGACAGGCCTGTCAATCAGACTTGGTCCCGCCCTAAAGATCTATGAAAGACACGTGAAGGTTCTGCAGAGGACCCATTTCCAAGATGACGAAGCTTTCTGCTGATACACACACACACACACACACTTATATATATATTAGCTACTGTACATGACAATGTACACCTGTACATATACCTACAATATTTACTCGTCCCAGAAAGCGCATATTCCTGAAAACATTCAGTGTGACTGTTCAGGACTTCCTGAACAGAAACAGTTCTTGTTTTCCTCACACACAAATGTATATATTTTTTCAATCAGTAATCCCTCAGCTACTGGAAAGAAATTTGGCCTGAAAAAAAAAAAAAAAAGAGTAAAATGAACTGAACTAAGCAGAAGCATGGAGTGAGTTTAGAACAAAGAAGACTGAAGATAGTTTCTTTTTTTGGAAAGACTGTGCAGTTAATGCTGCTCTGATGGAGACCACTGTTTGGATTGTGACCGTTGACCCTGAATTCATTTCATCAAGTGGGTTTTTCCTGCAGTACTTATTCAGTCCAGTAGAGGGAACAGAGAGAGAACGCCATTTTTTCTTTGTGATTTCACTGGTTTCAAGTTTGTGACTGAAACCAAACAAAGGCTGGATGGTTTCCACTGTGCACGAAACGTTTTGTAAAAAAAAAAACTGGTTACAGTTTGAAAGAAGTCAATTCTGATTGGATATTTGCTCTTGACATGCTAACTCTTTTGCAATGACACTGAAACCCTTGTCTTCCCGCAGTGATGTACGGAATCCTTTCTTCCTGACATTCTGAAATGAACTTCTAATGTTCCTTCCAGTGTTCTTGCATCTTGCAATGTTATGTCAGAAAAAAAAAAAACACTTTGTACGTTTGTGCAGATCTCTTCGGCGCATCTCACAGAGGATCTCCCTTTAAAGAGACTTTGACTCCTTTAATCTCGGATTTGCCAGCCATGGCATTGTGGCCCCACGTGTGGAATATCACCATTGATAACTAAGCATAATTTTTATAAATATCAATCAGTTTTTTAAGGTGAAGTCCAAGTTGCGAAGCAATGACGATATTCCTTCACCAGCAGTTGAAGAATGTGTCTGAATGTCCTCAAATGCACAGAAAGCCCCGAAGCCATGCGGCTCTTGAACTTTACAGTTTGTGAAATATATATGTATCAGTCCATCAGATGAATATTGTGGGAACTGAGAAAACGATTTGTGTAAAACAATCAAATAATAATGGAACAATTTACAAGAACTGACTTGTGAGAGGAGAGATGTGGAAATGGGACGCACTGAATTGCTAACCTGTCCTTTAACTCCAGTGTATTTTGCGTCGTTGGACTGATCGCACATACAGATGGATCCATCACACTTGTAAATAGGACTGTTACTGATTCGGCCACTAAAGGCAGGTTCATTTCCATCGTGAAGAAACCCTGAATGAGTTTAAATTGCTCAGTGCAATAGGTCAGCCTGATTTCAGATTAGAGTAACCTGTTTTGCCTGACAATTGTAGCACCTTGAATTCCTCAAACTCTCTCTATTTATTTATTCCTTTGTATGTTTGTTTATAAAATTGTATCTTAATTTTTATAACGTTAACAACTGTCTAAAATACGCAGATGTTCTTTGGTTGATTTACAGTCTAAAGACCACTTGCAACAAAAAGCTGGAGCTCAGTGCAATGTTGATAATGCCTGCAGTTTCTTTGTTCATGCCTTTCATGGTGAACCTCGATGAAGTAGAATGTCAACAAACCGTTAAAAGTTTGTTTTCTGTGTTCTCGGCGAGTCTTTGGAATGAGTACATCATTAGATTGCAAGAAAACATGTATCGCAAAGCAAAAGAAAGAACTAATTTAAGACAAAAAGCTACAAGTGTTGGAGATTAAAATGTTCAAGGGTTTGCCAGCAGAGGGTGACATGTATGGAAGCATATGGGTAGCAAAATTCATTTTGAAATGTAATATGCAAAATGACAATGCAATGTGTAAAATGGCCATGCATTTCTTTATTTAAATTTACATTTTCCCATACATATGTGCAACGTTTAGTGCAAAATGAAAATTAAATTATATAATTTACATTTGCCATTTCCTACACTAGCTTTAATATGCAAATTAAAAACATTTTAACACTTTATAAGTTGCAAAATTAAAATGTATTACACAAATTGATTAGATATGTTTAACATGTCTAAGTAAAAACTGTAGCAGAATTATCATTTAAATGCTGTTTTTCCAAAATGCATTTAGACTTAGGGGTAGGACACTTGGGATTGCATTTTCATCATAATACCGCGTGATAATTGTAGCAAAATGCAGTGAGAATTTCAGAATTCATTCTGAGCCAAAGGTGCAGCAAAATGGTGGTTTAAATGTCTTTTATTCTTCTTAAATGCATTGACACTTACATATAAGACGTTTCAATAGCATTTTAATTTAATACCCCGCGATGAATATAGTTTAAGTCAATGTGGAAAGTGTTTGGTTGACGGTGAATATTGACTTATTGTGCATCCTGTTGCCGAGCCCCGCCTTGATGTAGCCTAACGATTGACAGGTCGGGGAAATGCATTTA